AGAGAGAGAGAGAGAGAGAGAGAGAGAGAGAGAGAGTAATATAATATAGGGCCTACCTAGACTACACTGTCACCCCCCACAATTAAATAAATAAAGGCAAGGCCTACTATCATATTTTTAACTCATTGAGGCCGCGCATTTTGGTTATTCTACAACGCTCAAAGATACGCTGTTTTGAAATATAACTTCATCATTTGAATAGATTTTTCGTTTTCATTTTTTTAATCTGAAATTTTAAAAGGCATGCAACGACGTGCACACTCTGAAATTGAAATATGTAGGCCCTACACTTGTGGGTCCTGTTTGTGTGATGGTTCGAAATGTACCGAGACATTTCCTTTTGGTTTGCTGCTGATAGGACATCGTGCCCGCTACGTCCTCAAAGAGTTAGTCACCCAACAGGTCATGGCGATTGCCAAACATTTCCCCCTTTTCATCAATTACCAAACGAACCTAAAGTCCTAAAGCTAAAATAACAAACGTAACTAGATCTAGAGATGATTGGAATTGATACAACCCCCAATCTGATTTACCTTTATTATGGACTATAAAAACAAATTATGTGTATGTTTTGTTCTTGCGTGGGAGCCTGAAAGAACTCTCGGTAAGGGTGTGTTAGACATAATAATATTATTAATAGGCCTATAGGTTTATGGCCTGGCCCTTGATGAGAGAGGCGAACTGCGAACCGACCGAGTCACCGAGCTTGCAAAACTGCGACAAAGCTTTGGCTGGGCCTACGGGACTTTCATAGACCGAGACTAGAAAGAATCTGGCCCAGTGGAAGTGTACCTGACTTATCAATGTTCAATTAGCAAATTGGCTTTGAAACTTTAACGCGCGGAATTATTATTTTTTTCTGCAAGTTAAAATAATATTAGCTTTATTAGCTTTTAATGATATTGCACTAACGAGTGCAATCCACTCCCTTTGAGAATTTTTGAGAGAACTAGATCTAAGACGAAAATGTTCGTAATGCTAATGTATCTTTTTCGAAAAATTGTGTATTCTGTACACATAATATATTATAGTTCTATATGGTCGTTTGGCAATAAGTCACTGGCAATAGGCCACAGGCAACCCCATTTGTATTTCAAAAATGACAAGGAAGATTCAGTCGAAAAAACTTGAAACTCTCTGCGCATGACCAGATCAATGAGCCGCTTTGGCTTTAGTGAGCCAAATCTGTTTACTAGGAGAAATTTTGCTTCATTTATGTTAATAAATTGTAATCTAACTTTCTCGATCTTTATTTTTTTTTCTATTTCTGCTACAATTCTGAAGTCTGAAAGAGTAGTGATAGAAATATGGGCACAATCAATGATTATATTCATGCACGGAATCTCCACTCATATTGAGCTAGCAAATACCTGGCAACCCTGCCTGATTTCTGCGTCATGCTGGTCCTAGTTGTGCGGCAAGACTTTCTTTGAAAGGTCGTCAACTTGCCATTCTGTACAAGTAGTGCTCAGCAAAATCCTGGAAATGGTGATGGACAAAGTGTAACTTTCGATTTGGACTGTGACAACTTCAGGTAAACAATGGATTGCTTTTAATTAAGTCACTCGATATCAGAATATTTACTGAATTAGACCTTAAGAGTGGTTTTTAACACTATTCATTGATCATTGACGTACGTCTCCGGTCGACCACCATTTTGAATTCGAGTTGATTTGTCGCGTAGACACAAAGTTGAAAGTGACAACATTGATTGATCGTTGTCATTGATACTTTCATTATCTTTAAGTACTTAAGGCTTAAGGCTAATGAAACCCTTTCCGTTGGTAGGAAATTTTTAGGCCTCTTTGAACATTAGCAGATCACCACTGGATCTGGTCTAGAATCTAGATCTAGATTCTAGATCTAGAGATCTATCTAGATTTATAGTATAGTGTGAGTGTTAAGTTACTGCTGTAAGAACACTTATTTATTGGCTTAGACTTAGACTGAATCTAGAATCTAGATCTATTGACTTTTAAAGAGGGGGGGGGGGTAGATCTAAATAATACGGAAATAAAATGCCAACAAAAGAGGAGAGGAGTGCAGGGACTAAAGCTAAAGTCACAAAAATAATAGATCTAGATATCTAGATCTAGAGATCTAGATCTAGATCTAGCTAGGCCTAGTTCCGGCAGGTGGTCTGCTAATCTTCAATTTTACCGTGTGTGCTACTGCACACAGGACCTCCAAGATTTTTCTTTTCGCCCTTGTCCGAGAAGGCTAGAGGTAGATCTAGATGTCTAGATCTAGGGGCGCTGTTTGGAAATTGCCTTCCCGTTCCAATTGATAATTTGCGATGTAAACGTGAAGATTGTGTGGTTTGTTTGTTCTTTTAATTATTTTTGCCTGGGGGGCAATCCCCCTGAAACCCCCCACTAAAAGGGGGGACAAGCCCCCCCTCGTACCCCCCATCTATCAGGGGGTGTGTGGACTGTATCCTTCCTACCATAAGATCAGGGGTGTGGCTGAAAGACAGCAGTAGGTAAGAAGGAGCCAAGGAGTAGCAGTAGAAAGGCTGCAGAGAGAGTCAGTGTCAGGAGCCCAGAGGAGGGGGCAGAGGAGTAGAGGGGTGGGGGCAGAAAGTGGAGACGAAAACTTTTGACAAAACATTGCTGCTAGAGAGCAGGAAAAAAGGTGAAAGGAGACAATATTTTGGAGAAGAAAATTTTTCCGTCGCTGCCCGGATTTGAACCCAGGACCTTTTGAATGAGAGGCGTACTGCGTACACTTTAATCTCTATGCCATGAGGGCCCCCTTTACGTTCACGGCGCCCTAGAATGTAGTTGCAGGCTACTACGTTCACTGCATCCTGAATGTGGTTAGCAGGGATTTGCCCCGTAAATGGAGTCAAATTTGTGTTCAGCAGACAAAACAAACGGAAAAAAAAAGTACACACAGAACCTTGACTTTAAAACTCCTGTTCTGCGCCTGGGCCGAGATGCGAGTCTTATCAACTGAGCTCCTTGTGTCTTAGTGGGTCAATTTGTTATAATTTCATTGTACAAACATCTAGAGCTACCAACTTGGCATGTTTTGAATGAGACGTACACCTCAGTTATTATTTTTTTTATTTGGGGGGGGGGGGGTGTAAGTGTTTTACAGTGCTCGAAACTGCAGTAAAGTCATATGAGCGCGCAGGACATTTAACTTTTCAGTTTGTAATAGATTTTGAGTTTTGCCTGGGTGGCGGCCGACGCCTACTCTTATCGATTCTAGACCACGAAGGGATCTTAAGGTTAAACGTGCACAACTTGCACACGAGCCCTGAGATTTTTCGCCCTTGTCCGAGAAGGCTAATTGTAGATCTTTCCTTCCAGACGATCAGGGGTGTGGCTGACAGACAGCAGTAAGAAGGAGCCAAGGAGTAGAAGTAGAAAGGCTGCAGAAAGAGTCAGGAGCCCAGAGGAGGGGGCAAAAGAGATGAGGGGGTGGGGGCAGAAAAAGGAGACGAAAGCAGACGACAGAACATTGCTAGAGAGCAGGAAAGGAGGTGAAAGGAGACAATTTTAAAGAAGAAAATTTTTCAGTGGCTACCTGGATGCGAACGGGACCTTTGAATGAGGAGCCGACACCTTAACCTCTTGGCCATGAGGGCCCCGCTATGAACCAACGCAGGCGGTTCTACAAGTAGGCCACAAACTCAAGCAAACTGACGCACGCACATGGGAGATGCTCGGCACATGTGCGCTGAGCTAGGAGGGGTGACGGGCTCCAATTAGAACCCGGACAGCGGGGGTCTAAAAATACTGTAGCGGGAAAGTTAAGGGGTGTCTAAATAACAATCTGATTTTAATCACACCTGCGGGATCCGAATATAAGGACACTGTATATTGTTAGTCTGTAGTTTGAGTAATTTAAATGTGATCGTCATCATGTAAAACTTACACATGTTACAGTGTTGTTACACAACGTACGGCGCTCTTCCAGACGAGCACATGTTTTTATTCACATTTTTTGCTGGATTTGGATGTAAAAGTACACTGAGTAGTATAGTGATCTCGGTATTCTTTGACTTTCCGTCTCATCTCACACTTCGACTAGAGTAGACCATTTTCTACCAGATCATAATCTACATCTCTGCTCTATTGATGCGCTGAACACAAATATCGACTTAAGTTTCGTCACAATTTAATTGTTTTTGAAACATTTGATGATTTTAAGCGAACTTTATCACTCTAAGCCTACTTTCATAGTAATTTCCAGGCTTTAGACCAATCGGGGGTTTCAGGGAGGCCATAGCCTCTATGTTTTGCAGCAAGAAGTACGACAGTCTATCCCCAAAAACAGTGCTACTTGTGTGCCAGTGCGGAAGTAAAGATTTATTGCTCTGGTATTAATCTTCTCAGATGTTTGCATTTTGCGTGGAAGTCTAATTTAAAAGTTGGATAACCAGCAGAATCAAAAAGCCCATGCAAAAAAAATGAAGGGCACTGCTAAACAGGCTCTGGTACATTTTCTTCGATTTTAGCTTTTATCTGACACCAACGCCACATTATAATTTTCCCTCATCTGTGTGTAGGCCTACATATTAAGTCATCTGTAAAATGTTACTTTTACACCTACCGGTACCCAGAGATGCTCTTGGGGGCCAAGGCTAAACTGTTGTGTTTTCGGCTACTGCAGAACACAAAAGCATATATATGGCCTCTAAAACCATTGCAAATTAATTGCTTTCACAAAAATAAAAAATCTCAAACCTAACTGATTTGCAAAGCATCAAATTATGGCGGAGGAACCAGTAATTTGGGGCTTCAAGACTTATAAGTTGCATGTGTACATTAATTGGCCTTTAACTTTCATCCTGTTAAGATTGTGTAATATTCTCCTCCTTTGATTTGAAAAGCCCATGATGCCCATCCCTTCTTTATCAAAGTTCAGCCTCCAAGTGAGCAGACTCTTAGTTAGTTTAGTAGAGTTTTTACGGCACCCCGCAACTGCATAAAGTCTTATGATGAGCCGACTCTGCGCGGTGTGTTCTCAGAAGTGGGACATTACTCACTACTGGTTGCAACAAGTCTGTGTTTAAAGAGAGATAGAAAGAGCAATAGGTTGAACGGTAATTTTTTTTGCTTTCACTCAGATGCACTGCTTTGGTGGGTCAAGCTGGGTTATTTTTTGCTGCAGATCACACATATATAGCCACTAAAACTGTCGCAAATCAATTATTTTCAAACCCAACTCCAAAACATCAAATTATGGGTCTAACCCCCCCTCGATTTTTTTTCCATTTCTGGGGGCACGGGCATGCCCCCCCATTGGTCTAAAGCCAGGAAATTACTGCACAATTAGGCTTAGTGTGGTAAAGTTCGATGGAAAACCATCAAATTTATTTTTTTAAAACGAAGTCTAGCATCTGCGTTTGTCGCGGCCGCGATTTTTGCGTTTTTCAGCAACAAAAAAACTAACAAACAAACAAACAAAAACCACCGCCGAGGAATAAAAGAGGTGACAAAAAAATCCTGGGGAATAGACATCGAAAAAAAGGGTCAGAACCTCTTTACTTTTAGAAAGGAGAAAGATTATTTTAACTTCCGCTTCACTTTGTCTCTTTCTCATTTGTTGACACCACGTTGATTTGTTATTTTCAGGTGAAGAATCTAAGTACATACATTACATTATCTGTCCTCAGAGAAAGTTGCATTGGAAAATAGCAAAAGTTGCAAGAAAAATTAACAAAAAGTTGCGAGAAAAGTTGCAAGACGTGTATAGCTTAAACAATGCCACGGAACTATTGGGATACATTGTTGCTATGCTCATTGCAATCAAAAGTAACCAATATGAGTTTTGTTAGATCAAAATCAAAAGTTAAATGTGAATGTTTACCCAAAAAAAAAAAAATGCATTGAGGTTGCATGGTGTACAAAAACAGTTTGTCCCCTGACACATGGGTCAGGTCCTTAAAAACTCTCGCTGACGTTGGGCAGGTGTGACCAGCGTGGTTTTGGGGCTGTTCAAATTATATAATCTTGCACTTTGTTGGGGACTTTTTGGGCCCCCCCTCCCTTACACTATTTTTTTTACACCTTCCTGCAACCCCCC